TGGCCATCGTCTTCTGGTGAGATCGAACGTCGAATCTCTTCTTCATGCACTTACGGACGAAATGAAAGTGATTAATGCATTTTTGTCACACTCCTCTTTCTGTCTAAAAACGGTCCGGACTCATTTTCACATGTTTCCTTTAATAATTTGCAATTTATTTGAAGAAAGTCAGTTATTAAGTTGCACTTTGAAATTTCATAAGTTATATCGAGCATCCATCCATGTTTACACAGCTCCCTAAATTCTCTACTTTTACAAGATTTCAAGATTAATTTTCCCAACGCTCAAGGGAATATACCGGCTGGTTGTTAGGCCAAATGTGTTGACCCGGCCTTCGAGATCACCGACTTCACGTCCACTATTATCGAACTTCTATCCACCCATCCATTAAACCAGCTATTAATCCGTAACTTTCTCGATCCTTCCACAATCACCGAATTTCTATTACGCTTTTCCTTCCGTCTAAAATATAATAGAATCCATGTCCGAATCTTTCATTTCATACATGTGACTTATATGAAAGAATATTCGGTCTGGTAACTAGACCAGGGTTAGTAACTTTTACTTTGAGATGGAAGATGTTAGTAGCATACTTCAAGTTGAATCAAAATTCCATCTATTCATTCATTCATCCATTCATATATTTATTTATCCGTAAATATCTCAATCCTTCAATATTCATTCAATTGTGCTCCTGATTCTCGCTCCGTCTAACAGAGTTCACAAAGCTCCTTCAAATGTGTGTAACATATGAGAGGAAATATTCCGGCTAGTATTTATTTTCATCAGGCTCGTCTCTTTGTCTAAATTAAATGGGGATTCATTTTTAAATAGTTTCTTCTAATAGCTGTGACTTAGTTGACAGAATATTCAACCCAGCAACTGGACTAAGGTTGCCAGGTATTGGCAAAATTGTACAGATTTTAACAAATATTTGGGAACGAACTCAAACTTTGCAATATCTTAGCAGAACTATTGGCAGCGCTACACGCGGACGAGAATATATTGTAGTCAAGGTAGTTGTATAACTAATTCCATGCAAAATGTTGGAACATCACAAAGACTATGAATAGTGAGGGCTCATTAAAATGTCAACCAGAGTGAAATAAATAGAAAAAGGGATAAGCAGAATTAGTTGTTTTCTTACAATCGGCGCGAGTCGAGGTGGTGGCAGTATCAGTTTGGGTAATAGAATAAACGAAAGGATGGGCTGGCCCTATGGAATATTGTTGGCAGAAATGCTGGAGTTGCACTGCTTAAATGGCGAATTTAATTTAAGCGAAGAGATTTTCTACGAAAGCTTCATCAGATCATGAGATGTATTCACCCAATTTGGTTTAAGGTGATGAAGGACCGGTCGAAATTGGGTGAATGGGCATGTCCCCGCGAAATCTCATACGACAGCTTACAAGTTCCAATGTGCACACATTCGCACACCCACTTTGGGTGACTCACAATGAAGTCTGCAATCGGACAGTTGAGAGGAGGCAAAGAGGCCGTCGAGGGTGGGGTAGGAAGACGAGCCTTTACAGCCGCTGTACCATTTCACACATGACCATTCGACGACCCACCAACGAGCTGAGAAGCACTGCTTGTTCATCTATCCTCCCATTCGTCCACTTTCCTCCATACATGTCCACATTCCATAAGATTTGCAATCATTCCCTATCATAGTTATACAGATTCATTCATCCCGCCCGAAACATTCACAAATTGAACTTTACACAACCTAGACACGGAGGCATACAGCATTAATAAGCTTACATACAGTTACTATACATGCTCAATCGCTCACTCACTTTCGTCTACAACCTAACTTGCATTCTCTCATGCACACATACACTCATACTCAATCTCAATCGCAGTTTCAAAATCGCATTCTCACTCTGATTCATTCGTTTGCACTTTCACACAGAATAATTCAGAAGTAAAAGTCTTGTTCACTGCGTCGATTTGGCATCAATCTCTGGGACACATGCAGACCTTCAGTTGTTAGCACAACATTGATGTCCTCGCCAAAGGGTCGAGGGCCATCAACGTGCCCCTTCGAAGGCGATACGACATGTGGAAATGGGCAAAATGAACCTGCTTCCCCGGAAAAGGCATACATAATCACTTCGATCAGGGCCTCGAGGCAAACAGTAGACACAAGCATTTTCGTCAATTCCGGCCTACAGAAGATGTATTCTAGTAATGCACACCGGAGACAGAAGTAGCAACGCTTCGTGATTGACCCAAAAACTGTGCTGGCAAAGCAGATGGTGTGCAGATAGACAAAATTTGCCATAATGCCTAGTTCCTAGCCGTCAATGAATGGTCATGAACAAATTGTTACTAGATTAAAAAATACAGAAACTTTGAAAAACTATAATTGATTGATAAATATGCATATTCGGTATGAACGAAG